AGCGCAAACCCCTCTTTTGCGGGGCGCTTCCGCCTGTTGGGAGCCAAGTCCCACGACGTGTGGGCGTCACGTGTCGCAGGACAGCCCAATCAGGTTTGTGCGCCTGCGTTCTTCTGACCGCTTGGCCTTTCGGGAAGGGTGGAGGACAGAAATGGAGGAGCGGGAGCGCGGTGCTGACGTAAGCTCTGGCCGTTCCCGCCCCCGCCCGCGCCCCGGAATCTTCAGGGATAGGGGTGATGAGTGAGGAAGGCCTCTGGGGACTCTGCGCAGGTGGGGCTGTTAGGCTGAGCAATCAGGGTCATCCAGGCCTTTCCACCAGAAATTTTATCTTGATTAAAAACTGTTTTGCATTAATCATCAAGCGTGACGTGGGCAATTGAAGAGCCTGTGGAATCAAAAAACGTGGGAGTCCAGGCCACTGTACCCTCTTGGGCCTCAGGTTCCTAATCGGTAAATGGAGTTGATAGTCAAACTGCTTTGTAAAATGTAAAACTTGACGTAAATCATTGTCTGCTTTAGTTTGGGTATATAAAAACTATTGTTTGAAGTCTATGTTGGTAGGTGCCATTCAGGCATATCGTTTTCTTTATAACCTTCCAGACTACTCCTGTTTTTCCTCAGTGGCGCTTACAGCTAGTTTTTGTCTCATTGGTTTTCAAGTTGTCACTGGTGTTTGTACAAGGACTTCATTAAATAACTTAATGGAGATAGCTTTTTATCTTTCTCTAGTTTGCATGATGAAAAACACGGCTACTGTATTAGTTAGCTTTCCCTCGTTAAGCTGTGGTAACAGATGACTCCAAAATCTCGGTGGTTTACAGAAACAAAGGTTCAATTCTCACTGATGTAACACGTGGGCAGGGAGATGGCTGTGGCTCTGTGCTTCATGTGGCTTCTTCTGGGATCCAAGAAAGGGCTTTCCTGAGTAAATACAGAATGATTAATTTGTGTCATGTCAATTGCTTAAAACTTTTAATATTTTGAGACTTTTCAGAACTTTTACCAATACGGTGTCCCTTAGTAGGTACTACTCAGAACCTTACTCATGGTGGGTACACATAAACCCTGACAATTGATGTGTATTCTTCTTGTAATGCAAATGCCTAACTTAAGGTTTGACTGCCAAGGCATTTATTTCAAAGAGTCATCCACTTCATAGACTGGCTATCTAGAATAAACACATTGCCAGACACACACACACACACACACACACACACACGCTATCTAGAATAAACACATTGCCAAACACACACATACACACACACACACACAGGCTATCTAGAATAAACATATTGCCACACACACACACACACACATACACACACAGGCTATCTAGAATAAACACATTGCCAGACACACACACACACACACACACACACACACACACACAGGCTATCTAGAATAAACACATTGCCAGACACACACACACACACACACACACACACACACAAGCTATCTAGAATAAACACATTGCCAGACACACACACACACACACACAGGCTATCTAGAATAAACACATTGCCAGACACACACAAACACACACAAACACACACACACACACAGGCTATCTAGAATAAACACATTGCCAGACACACACACACAGGCTATGTAGAATAAAGACATTGAGACACGGCCACCCACCACTAGATTAAAGAGCCAGGCAACCTCCCCCAACTGAGGCTTCTTTGTTTTAGGAATCTTGGTTGATTTCAATTAAGTGACCATTTAGGCTACTTGGTTTTTGTTTTCCTTTTCCTGTGCTTTAAATTTCCACTATTTTGTTTTAAATTTACTGATAAGGAGTGAACTCTGAAGCCCTAGGCCCCCACCCTTGACCCCAGTAAAAGCATATCACTCTCTACCTGCGACCTCGCTGTGGGGCCCCAGGTGTGCTGTATAATTTCCAGATGTGGTAAATAATAAACCTGTATCGTTTCAAAGTTTCCTGATGGTTATTGCTGAAGGGTGTCTTGCAGCCATAATAAGAACTGTAAGGGCTGGATCAGTCACAACTTTGGTGTTGATAGGCTGAGACCAGTACAAAACAGGTGTCCATTGAATATTTCTTGAAATAATGAATGAATGCAGCACATCCTCTTTTTCTCTGTTTTTTCTAACCACCTGGCATCACAGTCTAGAAAAGTTTTAAAGCAGGTGGCTTGCTTCACTGGTTTTAAAGAGAGAATTCTGGTGACAAAATATGTGTAAAGAGCTGCAAACTTTTCTTAAGAGGTTTTCACTGAGAAAGAGTTACCTTTGGGCGGCCAGCTTTCCCTCACTGTGGGGTGCTGCACCTTCTGGGTCTGCTAACTCCATTTGTAACTTCAGCAGATCACGAGTGTGCTTAGTTCTGTCTTACAAAAGGAAGAGTTGTTGGGGAGCAGGACATTGAACTTGGGAATGGTGAAGCAATCAACAAAGTGGCTCCTATTCTATCAATGTCTCTCTCACCACGCTGAATCTGTCTGGAAGACAAACTTGTTCAGCTCTGAGCCTTGCTTGGGTAAGTCTGGGAGAAATCTCCTCTCTTTGCCAAATATGCCTCTCCTTCAAGGAGACCTTGTATGATGGGACAACGAAAGAAGACCCAAGTCACTTCACTTTGTTTCCCTTTTCCTCCCAGTTCTCCTTCCTTTCAAGAACCTAGTAAGCTTGCTTACAGTGGTTGCCCAGGAAAGGAGGTGATGTGGAAAAATTAGAAACTTTTTGGGCATGATAGTTATGTTCATTATTTGACTAAGAATGGTTAGGTGCACACATATGTAAAAACTCGTCAAATTGTATGCTTTAAATATGTGGTCTACGTCAAGTACACCTTCCTGAGTGTTTAAAAAGGGAGTGTATCATGATTCATCTTATACATACAACCATAATCCTTCAGAATTGTCTTGCATTCTTTTGCTTAACAAAAATCAATCCATAACCAAAGCACAGCTTAAGAACTGCTGAAGTTAATATTGTCTATTTCAGGTTCACTCTTTTCCAGTAGCACCGTAGCACTAGTGTATAGCTGTCTCGGTGTGGATGTTTCAGTATCAAAGGACCTCCGGCACGAGGAGAGTGCTTTTAAACTTCACTCACTCCAGGGTGACCTCACCCAAGCACTCACTGCTCAGTGTGCCAGTCTCCACTCGCTTGGAAAAGGGAGTTAACGCAAGCAGTTTGTGCGTGCGAAAGGACAAATGGTGCAGTAATCCAGCCCAAGCCGAGCCGCAGATTTCACATCTGCCAGGGAAACCCTACTATAGGGAGAGCGATGAGGGAGACAAAAGCCTGGGCTGGGAAAGGTCTAAGAATCGGTTTAAAGAAAAAAATTCTGGTTCCGGTCCTAAGTCCCACTTCCGCCCAGGTCACGTGCCTGCCCGGCAGAGCCCCGCTTTCCCATCCGGCGGGGCCCGAGCTCCTGCATTTCCAGTTCCGTCCAGTGGGCTCGGGCTCGGGCTCCGGCAGGCACTTCCGCCCGCGCTCTGCCGCTGGGCCGAGCGCCCTAGGTGCCCTCCGTGCCCTCCGCGGCGCACTCTGCCCGGGCTGCAGTTCCTCTCCTAGAGCTTGAGGGGGCGCGGGGAAAGCACGCGGGGTCGGCCTTCAGCTTACTTCCCCGGCGCTGCCTTTAAATTCTGAAGGCCCAGCGCCCCACGCTGAGAAACCACTGAAACCTGGTCTCGGGCCTGGAGGGGACTCTCGTTCGCCCTCTCAGCGCCCTCCTTCCATATCCCCGGGCTGAGGGTGGGCGAGAACCCAGGTGTCTGACTCTGGCCCCCGCTGCCGGCTGCTGTGAGGTGGTTTCCCGGCTCGGTTTAGGCGGGAGCTGGGACCCTAACACCGCCGCTTTCCTCCCCACCCAGCCCGCCGACCATGCCCGCGGGCGTGCCCTGGGCCACCTACCTGAAGATGTTCACCGCCAGCCTCCTGGCCATGTTCGCGGGCTCCCAAGTGGTGCACAGGTACTACCGGCCGGACCTGGTGAGTGAGTGCAGCGGGGCCCTGTGCCTCGCTCTTGGACTACATTCTCCCCACAGCAACAAAAGTGATCCTAAAACGAAATCAGGAGCACATCTGCCTTGGGCCTAGGCCCTTATGATGGCATCCAGTTGCATTTAGAGCAATGCCATTTTCAGCTCTTACACAGTCTTAGGCAGAAATCATACGCAGGTCTTACACAGTCTCGCACCTGCCTGCCGCTCGCCTTACCTTACACCATTTCTCTCCTTTGCCTTTGTTGCAGCCACACCAGCTTCCTTGCTGTTTCTCAAACTCATCAAGCTTGTTCCCACCTCAAGGCCAGACCTTTTCTCTTCTTGAAGTGCTTTTCTCCCAGATCTTAGCTTGGTTTCCTTCTTCATAGCTTCAGGTCTCTGCTCAAATATCTCCTCCAGCAATGAGGTTCCTTTGGACAGCTTCAGAAGGATTGCTGCTCTGCTATTATGTCTCAGTCCTTTGTTTCCATAGGGCACTCGTCACAGTTTGCAGTTATCTTATTAGTTTGTCTCTGTTTTTTGTTTTCTCCACAAAAGGACCGTGCCACAATAAGATACCACTTTATAACCACTATGGTGGCTGTTAATTAAAAAAAAAAAAAAATCAGCTAATGACAAGTGTTGGTGAAGATATGGAGAAACTGGAACCCTCATATAGTGCTGCTAGGAAAGTAAAAGGGTACAGCCCCTGTGGAAAACAGTTAAACATAGAGTTATCGTATGACCCAGCTATTCTACTTCTAGGTTTATACCCAAGAGAAATGAAAACATATGTCCACACAAAAACATGTACATGAATATTCATAGAAGTATTATTTATAAGAGCCAAAAAGTGGAAAGAATCCAGTTGTCCATCAACTGATAAATGGACATATAAAATGTAGCATATTCATTTAGTGGAATATTATTTATTCCTAAAAGGAAATGAAGTACTTGCGTGTGACAACATAGATGAACCTTAAAAACATGCTAAGTGAGAGAAACTAGCTACAAAAGACTACATGTTTTATAATCCCATTTATATGAAATGTCCAGAATAGACAAATCTATTGAAACAAAAAGTAGATTAGTAGTTGCCTAGAGCAGTGGCTTGGAGGCAGGACAACTGTGTGAAAATAGGGCTGATGGATGGACAACATTATGAAAATACTAAAGGCCATTAAATTTATACTTTAAATGGGTGACTGGTGTGGTATGTGAACTTGGATATCACTAAAGTGTTACCAAAAAAAGTCACCTTCTCAGGCCTTTCCTGACCATCTTTCCTGAAGGCAGTTTTATATTTTTTTGCTCACTGTTTTATGCATGGTGGAGAGTCAGTAAACAGCACAGGAATAAATTTCCAAATATGGAAAGCTTTATTTAAATTTGTGATCTGTCAGTTGATAGTAATGCAGACTCTCCCCCTGTAGAACTTAAGACATAGCCTGGATAATAAAGTCCTAACTGTAGGGCTAGAAAGGGACTTAAGATCAACTGTGGGTTCTCATAATAAAAATTTATTGTTGAGTAGCAAGGGACTTTTTGTTTGTATACTCTTTATTTGCTTTGAAGTCTTTCAGGTCACATTTAATACAGTCTAAGAAAACACTGGCATTTTTTTTTTTTTTTTTTTTTTTAATAGACAATACCTGAAATTCCACCAAAGCCTGGAGAACTCAGAACGGAGCTTTTGGGGCTGAAAGAGAGACAACACAAACCTCAAACTTCTCAGCAGTAGAAACCTCAAAATACAACTCTACCAAGAACTCTGTGAATAATAAGTCTTAAATACATATATTTGAAATTTATTGACTCAAACTACTTGTACTTAAGCACCCAGTATAATGCTACCTACAGGAGGAGGTGAGCAGTAGATATGAACTGATGCATTGAGATTTATTTATGGTTTGACCTATGTTTCTTGAAAACTGCCAAAGCTTTCTTAAATGTATTTGATATTTAGTTGTGAATATCATGTGAGATAGAGTATTTGCAGTGATTCCTCCTCTTATAATTCTTTTTTTCTTAATATATATGGACTCCCTTGTTTATTGCAGTATTAGCCAAGGTGCAAAAACAACCCCAAATCTCCATCAACAGATGAATGGATAAGAAAGATGTTGTACATATATTCAGCCATGAGAAAGGATAGCCTGTCGATTCCGATTACAACAGGGATAAACCTTCAGCACCTTATGCTAAGTGAGATAAGTCAAACAAAAAGATGAGTATTGTTATGATATAACTTATGTATGGAATCTAAAAAAGTCAAACCTCTAACCCCCCCCCCAAAAAAAAAAAAACACAACGGAGAGTAAAATGGTGGTTGGCAGGGTGTGGGGACTGGGGGATAAGAGTGATAGTGGTTAAGGATACAAACTTGTGACAAGTAGTAAATAAGCCATAGAGATGTAATGCACAGTATAATGAATCTAAACCAGTGATTTTGAACTGGTGTGCCATGAGAATTTTTAAAATGTGATACCTGACTGTTTAGTCAGGGGCACTGACCTCTTTTCCCTTAGATTGTTAAATAAAAAAATGACAACAGCCAACACAACAATAGTCATCTGTGTGAATGAATCAGAATTATACCCATTTTTTGTCAGGTGGGCAAAAAATATGATATATTTTTTGGTGTGCCACAGAATTTTAGTAATTAGTTTATGTGCCGTGAGATGAAAAAGGTTGGAAATCACTGGTCTAGACAATAATACTGTACAGTATTATAATTATGTAATGTGATAAATATTGCTACCACAGCAGTCATTAACAATATATGAAGGTGTCAAAGTAACATGTTGAACACCTTAAACTTACACAATGTTCCATGACAGATTTATTTAATTAAAAAAAAAAAAATTTCAAGCTACTAAAGGTCACACTGCTATATAATTTGCAATCAGTGTTGACTGTTAACTACTAGAAAAAGTAGTCATTACGGAGACCCCTTTGTAGAGTTCTCTTGATAGAAGGTTGAAGATGAAACACTAGAGAGACTACAAAAAGTTCAACGAGAATATCTCTCTCTGCCTCTAGACAAAATTAACCCTGTGTTCTTGGACTTGAACTCTGCAAAGACCTGAGGAGTATGCTCTAGGAACATGACCTCATGCCCCACAGGATCTAAAAATATACTAACTCCTCACCACTACAGTGGGTCCTTTTATGAAGTTAGTTCAAAATTAAATTACAACAGCCCTAACCTTTACACAGCCATGTGGTTTGTGATTCAGTAGTATATATAGACTTCCATATGAATTCTCTGGAAACAGAGATATTTATTCATGTAATTGTATAGCTTTATAAAGAAAAAATAACAAAGGCAAATGACTTAGAGCTAGAAATTCTTAAGTATCTTAGGATCTATTAATTTTAATATCTGCTGAATAGGGCAAACTGAAGTGGATAGCTAAATTTTCTTCTAGTTTCCCTTTCCTTTCTTAGTAGCTAAATCAGTGGGTATCTCTATAAACAAAGTCATGTTGAGTCAGTAAAGGTTAATTGTTTCACAGGACTACATATGAAACTAGTTATGTCTGTACTAGTTATTTCTATACTAATTATCTTTGTAATTATACAAAGATGTCACCATATTTACATTTTAATTCACTAGCATCTTAGGGAACATATTTCACTAAAAATAAAAAGCAGTTCTCTATTCAAAGAAGGTCTGGGGGGATAAATGGTGATGGACGGAGACATGACTTGGGGTGGTGAATACACAATACAGTATATAGATGATGTGTTGTAGAATTGTGCATTTGAAATCTGTATAATTTTGTTAACTAGTGTCACCCCAATATATACAATTTTTTAAAAAGTTAAGAAACATCTAGAAGAAAATACAAACAAGTATTCTAATCATAAAGCAGTGTAATAAGGCAATGGATGCCTTTTTGGCTGGAAAGAACAACGAAATATTTAAAATGATGACCAAGTGGATGCCAAATAGACTTCTTTTTTTTTTTTTTAATATGTCTACTGATTTCAAAGAGAGGAAGGGAGAGAGATAGAAACACCAATGATGAGAGTCATTGGCTGCCTCCTGCACGCCCCTTGTTGGGGATTGAGCCTGCAACCCTGGGCATGTGACACGACCGGGAATCAAACCTCGATCTTCTGGTTCATAGGTTGATGCTCAACCGCTGAGCCTAAACTGCTGAGCCATGACGGCTGGGCCCAAATAGACTCTTAAATGATACCTAACAGAAAGGTATGATTTCACATGATTTGGAGAGCTTCTGAGTTGGTGAACACGTGGAGATGCTGGGAGAGGGATGTGCTGGGAGAGGGCATGAGAGCTCCACACCCTTTCCCCATACCCTGTCCTGTTCATCTCATCCATCTGGCTGTTCTTACATTCAGCCGTTGACGTAAGAACATTCAAACCTGCCTCTCTTCCTCCCTTGCACATCCGTTCCCTTAATCATTAAACCTTCAAAACAATTAGGTCTGGTTAGCATCAGTCTTAGGAACAACCCTTAGGTCTTCACATCATTTTTCTTTTCTTTTTTTGGTATTTTATGCAACTTCCCCAAATCTCCAGAAAGATCAGATTTGCTTTTCTTGTTCAATGATTCTAATCTGACATCATGTGGATAGAATCACAGCATTTTTCTTAATTCAGGCAAAACCAGTTGTGGGTTTAGATGTTGTCTGTATCTTTCAAATGACTCTATCATGCTCTCCGGTTAACAATGAAACGATGGAATTTTTAGAATTAACATCATTAAAATGTTCATACTACCCAAAGCAATCTATAGATTCAGTGCAATTCCTATCAAGATACCAGTGATGTATTTCACAGAACTAGAATAAATATTCCAAACATTTATATGGAATCACAAAAGACTGAATAGCAGCAGCAATCTTGAGAAAGAAGAACAAAGTTGGAGGAATCACACTACGTGATATCAGACTATACTACACGGTCATAGTAATCAAAACAGCCTGGTACTGGCATTTAAACAGGCATATACATCAATGGAACAGAACAGAGAGCCCAGAAATAAACCCACACCTATATGGTCAATTAATATTTGACAAATGAGGAACGAGCATACAATGGGGTAAAGATAGTCTCTTCAATAAATGGTGATGGGAAAAGCCAAAAACAATGAAGCTAGACCACCTTCTTACACCATGCACAAGAAAAAACTCAAAGTGGATTAAAGACTTAAATATAAGACTTGAAACCATAAAAATCTTATAAGTAAGCATACACAGTAAATTCTTAGACATTTCTTGTAGCAATATTTTTCTGATTTATCTTCTCAGGCAAGGGAAACGAAAAAATAAACAAATGGGACTTCATTTGTAAACGTAAAAGTTTTTGCATAACAAAAGAAACCATTAACAAAATGAAAAGACAACCCACTGAATGGGAGGACATATTTGCCAATGATACATCTGATAAGGGTTAATATCCAAAATGTATAAAAAACTAAACACCAAAAGACCAAACAATCCAGTTTAAAAATGGGCACATGCCCGGCCAGGCGTGGCTCAGCCATTGAGCCTCGACCTAGGATCGAGGCGATCAGGGTTCGATTCCTGGTCAGGGCACAGGCCTGTGTTGCGGGTCCGATCCCCAGTCAGGGGCGTGCAGGAGGCAGCCAATCAATGACTATCATCATTGATGTTTCTATCTCTCTCTCCCCCTCTCCTCTCCTCTCTCTGAAATCAATAAAGATATATTAAAAAAAAAAAAAAATGGGCACAGGATCTAAATAGACACTTTTCCAGAGGATATACAGATGGCCAATAGACACAAAAAATGTTCAGTGTCAGTAATAGAGGAATGCAAATTAAAACCACAATGAGATGCCACCTCACACCTGTCAGAATGGCTATCACCAATAAAACAACAAACAAGTGCCTGTGAGGATGCGGAGAAAAGGGAACACTTGTGCACTGCTGGTGGGAATGCAGATTGGAGCAGCCACTGTGGAAGACAGTATGGAGTTTCCTCAAAAAACTAAAAATGGAATTGTCTGTGACCTAGTGATTCCACTTCTGAGAATACATCTGAAGAAACCTGAAACATTATGTGAAAGAATATATGCACTCTCTGTTCATTGCACCATTATTTACAATATCCAAGATTTGGAAGCAGCTCAAGTGTGCATCAGTAGATGAATGGGTAAAAAAGCTGTGGTACATTTACAAAATGGAATACTACTTGGCCATAAGAAAGGGAAAATTTACCTTTTGGGACAGCATGGATAGACCTAGAGAGTATTATGCTAAATGAAATAAGCCAGAGAAAGACAAATGCCATACGATTTCACTTATTTGTGGAATCTAATGAACAAAATAAACAAAATGGAAACAGAGATACAGAAAATAGACTGACAGCTGTCAGAAGGGAGTGGGGTTGGAGGCTTGGTGAAAAAATCTGAAGGTATTAAGCAAAAAACAACAACTCATAGACTCAGACAACGGTATGGTGATTACCAGTGGTAAAGGGAGGAGGAGGAAGTTAGTATAAGTTAGTATAAATGGCGACAGAAAGAGACCTGACTTTCTGTGGTGATCACACAATGCAATATACAGATGATGTCTTATAGAATTATACACTCAAAACCTATATAATTTTATTTGTCACCCCAATAAATTCAATAAAGTTTTAAAAAAAGAAAGTACTGTTAAGTTGAATTGAGTTGAAATATTTCAAGTGTGAAGTTCTTTTGGAATTGTGTACATAACAAAATTCTAACAATTATAACTTGGACTGTTACAATTTCTTTACCTCCAAAGTTGAGAAACCATGTTAATTTTTCTTATAAAATATATTTTAAAGATAACTGAAAAAC